CTCTTGTGGGACACTGTTGCGGGACACTCTTGTGGGACACTCTTGTGGGACACTCTTGTGGGACGCTCTTGTAGGACACTCTTGTGGGACACTCTTGTAGGGCACTCTTGTAGGACGGTCTTGTGGGGGGACTCTCTTGTAGGAAACTCTTGTGGGACACTCTTGTAGGGCACTCTTGTAGGACACTCTTGTGGGACACTCTTGTGGGACACTCTTGTGGGACACTCTTAAGGGACACTCTTGTGAGGCCCTCTTGTGGGACACTCTTAAGGGACACTCTTGTGAGGCCCTCTTGTGGGACACGGTTGCGGGACACTCTTGTGGGACACTCATACGGGACACTCTCGTGGGACACTCTATCTGGGACACTCTTGTAGGACACTCTTGTGGGTCACTCTTGTAGGAAGCTCTTGCGGGGCACTCTTTTGGGACACGTCGCGTCGCCAGACGGTCTGCCCAGACACTAGAAGCAAACATGTCACACGATACCACAAATCATCCCGCTCACCAGCGACACGCCGCGTTTACGCCAGCATGTTTCGCGCTCGGTGGCACGGCGCCACGCAAACGCACTTTCCACCAAGGCCGCACAAATCCCAAAGGCACTGCGACATCACGAACGTCGCGTCGCCACACGGTCTGCCCAGACACTAGAAGCAATGTTAAACATGTCACATGATACCACAAATCATCCCGCTCACCAGCGAGACGCCGCGTTTACACCAGCCTGTTTCGCGCTCCCCAGTGGCACGGCGCAACGCAAACACACTTCCCACCCAGGCCGCACAAATCCCAATGGCACTGCAACATCACGTCGTGTCGCCACACGGTCTGCCCACACACTTGCAGCAAACATATCACATTGATACCACGCCGCGTTTACGTCAGCGTGTTTCGCGCTCCCCAGTGGCACGGGGCCACGCAAACGCACTTTCCACCAAGGCTGCGCAAATCCCAATGGCACTGCGACATCACGAACGTCGCGTCACCACACGGTCTGCGCAGACACTAGAAGCAAACATGTCACATGATAGCACCAGCGACACGCCGCGTGTACGCCAGCCTGTTTCGCACTCCCCAGTGGCACGGCGCCACGCAAACGCACTCTCCACCAAGGCCGCACAAATCCCACATCACGAACGTCGTGTCGCCACACGGTCTCACACTTGAAGCAAACATGTCACATCATACCACATATCACCCCGCTCACCAGTGACACGCCACGTTTACGCCAGCCTGTTTCGCGCTCCCCAGTGGCACGGCGCCACACAAACGCACTTTCCACCAAGGCTGCGCAAATCCCAATGGCACTGCGACATCACGAGCGTCGTGTCGCCACACGGTCTGCCCACACACTAGAAGCAGTCATGCGAGCGTTTCGTACGAGACTTCCTCCAAAAGTCACGCTTCGAGGCTGCAAGACTAGCGCTTCGTACGAGACTTCCTCCAAAAGTCACGCGTCAAGTCTCCAAAACGAGCGTTTCGTACGAGACTTAATTCCTCAAAAACTCACATGTCAAAGTCTGCAAAACGAGCGTTTCGTACGAGACTTCCTCCAAAAGTCAAGCGGTCTGCCCCTCCCAACAACACCCGCTCACATGCCAATCCCAATGCGACAGCGACATTCACCTCTACCACACACGTCTAACGCGCACAAAGTACTGCGCCTGCCACGAAATGTCACCTCCGTCACCTCACGATTACCTGCGCCTGCCACGAAAATCGCGCCACACCTCAAAGCCCGCACAAAGTACTGCGCCTGCCACGAAAAGTGACCATATCATCTCATGTGAGCTTCAACAAAATTTGCACCACACCACGCGTTTGGAATGATTTCGACCCGTTCTGAGCACACTCCCGTCCACCAAAATCGCCACTTCAGCTGAGACTTGTCACGAAAACAGAGCTTCGACGCCACACCCTGAAACGCAAATCCCAATGGCACGGCCACATCCAACACCCCAAAAACACGACTCTCTGAACTGAAACGACATCGCTGAACTTTTGCGGAGTAAACTTTTATACCATGCGCATTGTTCCTTTCAAATATCTGGCAAGACGTTTGAGGTCTCCGAAATCAGCTTCGGTTGGACCTTGCATTTTCCTTGCCAAACACTTGACCGTCTCTGACAAATCAGGGCGGTCCTGAGCTAGGAACGCTGCACGCATTGTGAGAGAACGGTATTGGCTGATCCGATGAGGATCAACAACATCAACTTCCATCCTCTTTGCCAATCCTTCTGCTGTCAACTTTTCGTTTGGACTCTTCACTGGTTTGCAAGTCTCCATATATCATATTGAGGTCCTTCAGCAAAATCTCTGCATGGCGTGGATCTGGCTCGTAGAAGATGGTTCCTGACCTCTCGTCGAAGCGTACGAGACGGTTCAGGATGCAAAACTCCTGCTTAGCTTCTCCAACACCTATGCTTCCGTCAACACGGAGATCATATGCTTCTCTTAATGCATTTTCGACATGTTGCTGCACTGCATCGTCGCCCAAGATGACAAAGTCGTCACCGTGGACTAACAGCCTTGCCTCCAGCTTCTCGTGAAAGAAGATGGCTGGCCAAGCAGCAGATCTTTTGAATCCGGCTCGATTCAAAACATCAGTGTAGGATTGCTGCCAAATGTTGGCTGCATCGTGCGTGCCATACATGCTCTTCAACAACAATCCTACCTTGCCTTCTTCTTGATCACCTTCGGGGAGGGTGACAAAAACTTCACGCTGTGCTTGACCGTAAAAATGGGCTCTGCTGATGTCAATCAGCCGAACCTTCAACGGTTTGCGGTTACGCTTAGAAACCTTCAGCGTGACCATCAAAGAAAGCAAAATTTTCAAATCTTCCAGAGGTGGCATTGCACTAAAGCTTGCGTACTCTGGAATGTATTCTGCATTGTGGGCTCTCTTGATCTCACGACAAACAAGGCGAGATCTATAGTTGGGTCTTTCGTTGTCGCCCTTGTTGCGATCAACCCACTTCATTGTAATTGGAACTTTTCCAGCTTTTCGAGCATCTTCTGCGTCCACCTTCTTGTAGATGCACTGGCGTTGAACCCAGTCCAACTCCTCCTTCCTAGCGGCGGCCGCTTTCTCCAAGTCCAACTCTGCACCAGTATTGGCGTCGTAGACTGGTCCGGTGACTGTCACGTCAGCGGAAGGAAGATGGTCAAAGACCTCTTGCTCTTCATCTATGACCGGAGCGGCGTCTGGTACCGGTCCAGCACCTAGCGGGTTCAAAGCTTGGCTGAACTCACCATCTTCAGCAAGTTGGTTTCTCAACGCTTCAAGAATCCCTCGAACCAACAGTGGCGGGTAGACCTGTGCCGATCTTGCCCGACCGTTGATGAGGTTGACGTGTCGGTGCCATGTCTTGCCTTGGCTTTTGGAGCATACGCCAGATAGCGTCCTTGCCAAGTGCGGCGAGTTGGTCAGCCACCTGGTTTCTTTCTTCACCAGGCCCTTGCCCCACACGTCTTCTGATTCCATTTTCCACCTACACATGGGCCCAACAACTTCGTAGACACGTGGATCGTCTCGAAGTTCTTTGATGACTGGTTCTTCCCAGCTGCGTGCTCCTTTCGGATGCTCGTGCAAAAAGTAGCGGCCTGCGTCCATCTGTGCACGATAGGCGCGCACTGAAGTTCGCAGATGCTTCTTGCCTTCTTGCAAACTTTGTGACCTGACCGACTGAGGAACATGATTCCGAATGTCGACCAAGTTCTGGAGCTGTGAGAATGGTCCACAAGGTGGTGAACCCCCTAAAAGCTTGGGTTTCTCCTTCTCAAGCAGTGAAAACAAATCCTCAATGTGTGAATGTTTGCTCAAATCCCAATGACTTCCGTCTTCTCGCTTGGTCTCAAGGTCGATTGCAAATCCAGGACGCAATCCAACCAATTGGGCTTGCGCTGAAACTCTTGGCGGTGAAAAGATCTCTGAAACAGTCTTCTGTACGTTGCCCTTCTTGCGGGCATCTCTCAAAACAGAACAAAGACAAACTGAAAGATGTCCTAAATCCATGGTGCCGCTGCCTCCAGATGAAGCGTCTGGAGCTGCGACTGCAACTCTTGGTGGCTGAGGACCTGTGCTCCCAGCCGATGGGAGTGGTCCCATTACCACTGCCCCATCATCATCTGTAACTGCAGACGCGGCTGCTTCATCCTGCATCTGGTGATGCAGCTCTTCAATGTCTGCTTGTGCACTTCGCTTTGTCCGATGTCCGCCGGACTTCTGTTTCTTCTTTGGGCTTCCGGGATGTTCTCCTCGGTCTTCGAGTTCGCGGCGTGCAACTCGTTCAAGTGGCTCTCCAACAGCTTCTCCCAAGGCCATTTCGGCATCAGGCTCTGGAACACCTACCAACGCGGGAACGCTGGCAGCTTCCACAACCTCTGGCTCGCCAGCCCCACCTCCAACTCTTGGAGCCTTAGGGCGTCGCCCGGCATAAATCCGAGCTTTTGCAGCTTCAATCCTCTGCTTTCCTTCTTCGGTCTTCATGAGCTCGCTCTCAATCCTAAACCTGC